TTTCATATTTAAATCTCTGTTCCATTTAGAATTTATTCTGGCTACAGTTGAGGAATGAATCAAATTTCTCTTTTTCTATGTGACCATCCAGTTATCTTAAAACCATTTATTAAAATGTCTTTTTCCCACTGATTATTGCCTTGATCAGATGCTAAAAATTTCATACACAATTAAGTCTATTTCTTGATTTTCTGTTCTAATCTATTGATCTCTATATATTCATGGACCAAATATCATACCATTTTACTTATAGTCTTTATAATGTATTTAATAACTAGTAGCTATACTTCATTGCACTTTTTTTAGAAATTTTTATTTATTTTTAGAAAGAGGGGAAGAGAGGGAGAGAAACATTGGTTAGTTGCCTCCCTTACATACCCCATGCAGGGACCAAACCTGTAACCCAGGTATGTGCCCTGATTGTAACTGAACCAGTGACCTTTCACCTTGTGGGACAGCACCCAAGCAACTGAGCCACACAAGTCAGGGCTGCACTTTTTTTGCATCATTTTAATGGCTATTTTTGCTTATTTATTCTTTCTAATGAACCCTTTAAAAACTTATCTGGCTTCAGGGAAAAGAAAAAAAAGCCTAACAAAAGAGGGTATAAGGAAGATAAATGGTAATGGAAAAAATAATAATAAAAAAAAGGCTTAACAGTGTTTGTTTGGAACTGTCTCAAATATACAAATTATGAAGAACAGACATAATTACCCTAGAAAGTTGAATTACCCTAAAAAGAACATACCATATGTTTTTCTATTTGTTCAAGTCTACTTTGTATTTTTCAGGAGTATTTTATATTTTCCCTTATATAGGTTTTAGATACCTTTTGTTAAGTCTATACCTATATATTTTCATTTGGCTATTTTAATGGTAATGCCATCATTTAAAAATTTTAAACATATAACTGAAAACAAGATGGTTTTCTACCTCTGTATTCCATTCTTTAATATTGTGTTTACCTTGGGAAGGAAAAAAAGGAGACTAATGTTTATTGAACTCTGTCCAGGCACTTTTACACATATCACTTCATCTGGCCTTTGCAGAAACCCAAGAGGCTAAGTATAGTTATCTCCACTTTTTAGAGAGGAGGAACTTAGCGAATTCAAATGTAAAATGTGAGCTTTATCCTCTACATAGTTCATTATCTTCATTTTGCAAATGAAGGAGTCACAGCACAAGAAGGTTCACAAGTGACATTAGAAGTCCTCATCTTGGCTCTTTTACTTACAAGCCATGAGGCTTCAGATTGGATATAATATTTAAAACAATATAAAATAGTGCCTTGCTTAGTATCTGATTTTATCAAGAGTATCTCTATTATTTTACCACTAAGTATGACATTGGCTATTAGTTGGTAGATTTACATTCTATGTCTGATTTACTGAAAATGTTTTTCTATTTAAAATCACTTGAGCTGCTCAGAAAACATCTGTGCTAGGATAGAATTTATTGGTAAATAAGACAAGTCAGTTTCCTTTTCTAATAGGGTTTATATTATATTGTGCAGTAAAGCAGAGAGGAAGGGGGGTGGGTGAGAAGGGGTGGGGAGGGGAGGAGATAAGCAAACACAAAAAAATGGAAATAGATAACTTCAGAAAGTAACAACTGTTTTAAAAAATAGGATAAACAGAAATCCTAGTTTAGAGAAGGTGGAGGTAATATTTGGGATGTGATCTAAATTTCAAGGAGGTGGCCTTGCAAAGATCTGAGGAGAAAGCAAAGGAACACTAGTGGCAGAATGTCAAATTTTATAAGATTCATTTTTAGATATCCTTGAAATTATTTTAAAAATCAATAAAATAAAAAAGATATATAAAACATACTTATTTCCTCCTTTGGCCTATAAGTGTGGCCAACTATATGAAGGATTTCCTAATGTTGAACTATCCTTATACTTTTGTGAAGAAGCATTACTTGAGTATAGTGGTTTTTTTCCAATGTATTTTTGTGTTGGCTTTGATAGTGTTTTATATAGAACTTCTCATCTAAGCTATAAGGTATTGTATCATGGTTATACTATCTGCATTAAATAAATTAGGAAAATTCTTGTTTTTAATATTTAGAAACAGTTTAAAAAGATAGGAATCCATTCCTACTATTGCTATAGGAATCCATTCCTACTATTGCTATAGGAATCCATTGCTATTTATAAATCTGAAAGAAATTGCCTGTAAAATTCTTTTGACTTTTTTACTTAGAAGTAGTTAATTATTTTATTTATTTTGTAATCACTGTTTTTATTTCACCCATGGGTATTGGTCTATTCAGATACCACCTTCTAAGCCAACTGATCACATTTATTGTACACAGTGGTCTTAACTTTACTTCTCCCTTGTACATGTGATTACATTCCTTTCTCATTCTGAATGTGGGGTATTTGGAATCTCTCTAAAAAAATTTTTATTAGACTTGTCAGAGTTTAGTGTATTTTTTTTGGTATTTTCAAAGAATACATTTTCAGGTTTAGCTACTTTAATTTGTAATCTAATGTATTAATTTCTGTTCTGTCTTTATTTTTCTTTTATGATTTTATTTTTCTAAAGTATGTAGATATTTACATTTATTTTATTTGGTTTTACTTAAAATAAAAACCATTTCAGACTCTCAGTTTATATGTTAGGTTATATTCCATTCATTATGTCTCATGGTGTTCTCATGGATAGTATTTAATAAATACATAGTAATTCATTTTTGTTTTTTCTTTGACCTAGGAGTTATTTGGATCAAATATGATCTTTTTAAGTTTTTTAATTTTTGTCCTTTTGTTAGTAATTTTTAGTTTTGTTGCATTATAATCAGAAAACATGACCTGTAAACTTTCATTTGACTTTTCTTTATAGATTAGAATATAAGGTGACTATAGCAGCTCCATGTTGGAAACCTCAGACATCTGAAAATGTCTTTTTGTTGTTCTTTGCCTAGCACAAAATTTTTGTAATTTTCCCCTGGAAAACATAAACACTACTCTATCTTCCTTTGACATTTATTATAGTAGAGAAGTCCAATGATTTCCACTATCATTTATTATTATTATGTTTCCCTTTTTGTAACTTCTTTCTAAAATAATTATTATGTGTATATTTTTCATCTTTGAATCTTCTGTTTTATGGGAGCTTTCTTAAGATCATCTCCATCATTGATTCAGTTTTCTGCAGGATCTAACCTTTAGGTCCCTGCTTTAGTTGGATTTTTTAAATTTGATTTTTTTCTGGTTTATTTGTTTTTGTTTTCTCTCTTTACTGTTTGATGGGTCTTATTAGAGGCTTTTCAAACTTATTTACCATTTCAAAGAAGGAGCCTTTAGTTTTATTAGTTTTTTTATTTTAATTGTTGTTCAAGTACAGTTTTCTACCTTTTACCCCATCCCAGCCCACCCCCCCAGCCATCCTCACCTCCCTCCTGTTTCCAACCCCCCCTCTCCTGTTTTTGTTTATGTGTCCTTTATACTTGTTCCTGCAAACCCTTCCCATTTTCCCCAGAAATTCCCTCCCTTACCCCTCTGGTCACTGTCAGCCTGTTCTCAGTTTCAGTGTCTTTGGTTATATTTTGCTTGTTTGTTTGTTTTGTTGATTAGGTTCCTGTTAAAGGCGAAATCATATGGTATTTGTCTTTCACCACCTGGCTTATTTTGCTTAGCATAATGCTTTCCAGTTCTATCCATGCTATCACAAAGGGTAGGAGCTCCTTCTTTCTTTCTGCTGCATAGAATTCCATTGTGTAAATGTACCATAGTTTTTTGATCCATTCATTTACTAATGTGCACCTAGGTTGCTTCCAGCACTTGGCTATTGTAAATTGTGCTGCTCTGCAGTTAATTAATATTTGACAAAGGAGGCAGCAACATAAAATGGAGTAAAAATAGCTTCTTCAACAAATCGTGTTGGGAGAGCTGGACAGCTGCATGCAAAAAAAATGAAACTCGAGCACCAACTTGCACCATACACAAAAATAAATTCGAGGTGGATAAAAGATTTAAATATAAGTTGTGACACCATTAAAGTCCTACAGGAGGACATAGGCAGGAAAATCTCAGATATTTCATTTAGCAATATTTTCACTGATCTGTCCCCTAGAGCAAGGGACATAAAGGAAAGAATAAACAAGTGGGATCTCATCAAAATAAAAAGCTTCTGATTTGTTTTTAAAGATAGAGAGGAACACTGACTTGTTGTTCCCCTTATTTATGCACTCATTGGTTGATTCCTGCATGCGCCCCAACTAGGGGCCGAACTCACAACCTTAACATATCAGGACTGTGTTCTAACCAGCTGAACTACCTGGTTAGAGCTGATAATTTTGTTTTTGATCTGAAAATAGTCTCAGGAATAAGACATGCAATAATCTCTGAAATTCTTTCTTCTTTGAGGTAGTAACTTGTTCTTAGAGGCTCACATGCTTTGATTCCTTAGACTGACTGCCTTCTTCTAAAGTAGTGAATCATTTCATAGACCATATAGCATTTCTGCTTCCTTTTTTTTTTTTTTTCACAAGGGATGGGGGGAAGTGGAGCAAGAATGTTTGCTCAGATGCCTCCAGGTTGTTTGAATTCCTGTTCCAATGCACCCGGCAGGCTATTACTTTCCTTAAGATGATCCCTCCTTCTGACTGCTCCCCTCCACTCCCCTCTCTGTTTTATAGAATTCTTTATATTTGCATTAATGTGGATGGCACTTTCCCTGATTTCTAGCACCGCCACACATCCCCCCATGCCCATTGTAACGATTGTTTTTGATGAGTTCAATTACTATTGGCAGAGTTGGCAGGATGGTAGGAAGAACAGTGTCAGAACTTTTAGGTGCAGCATGAGGCTTAGATTGTCCTGTTGAACCAAAAATCCACTACACAGAGAATAATGAAAACTCTCATTAGCACCCCATTTACAAAGAAGAAAGGTAACTTCTGTTTTTATCTTTTGCAAAGAGTGCTGTGTACATGGAAGTCTTTCTGTTTTACTTGTCCTGTCTTCACCTTACTGTTCTTGTTTTGATTTATAGAAAGATGTAGACAAGGAGTTCTATTTGTTTCCTGCAGTGTTTGATGAGAATGAGAGTTTACTTTTGGATGATAACATTAAAATGTTTACAACTGCACCAGATCAGGTGAATAAGGAACATGAAGACTTTCAGGAATCTAATAAGATGCACTGTAAGTACTGCCCCTACCACCAATCCAGCAAGTTATTTCAGGGCTGCACGTGGAATGTTTTTAATGATGCCAAAATCCCAAGAGCTTTGCCTATTATTCAATAAATTATTAAATACAATGACACTAATATCATTGATTATTTAAAGTATTGGTCAATTACACCTCATTTCACTTAATTCAGGATAAAACATACAGATTATGTCAACTAGATGCATATTAAAATGTGATCAGCATTACCCAGGGCATGTTAGAAACGCAAATTCTTGGGTTTTTAACCCTGACCTACAAAATCAGAAACTTTGGGTGTGGGGCCAGCAATTCATGTTTAACAAACTTTCTGATTCTCATATATGCTCAAATTTGAGAACTGCTGGATTGGATGCTTTTCTCCTCTGTGGCATAATAATGACAGGCTCATTTTACTGTTTAATATGAAGAAATTTATGGTCTCTGTTCTCAATAAACTTCAATGATCCCCACCATTGACTCTACAATAGAATCAACTGGGAGCTTTTAAAAATGATTATAACTACTCTTTAAATGCTCAGGACAAACTTCAGAGGTTTTTATTTAATTGTAACCTGTCATCAGATTTATTTTTACCTCCAGTGTAATTCTAAAATGCAGTTAGGGTTCAGAGAACAGTGAGCTAATTGTTCAAAAAAAAAATTTTTAAGCCACTAATGGACAGCATGTGAAAATTATTGTAGCAAGAAGAAAAAAATGTAAATGTTACAGACAGATTTATTTTTTAGCTGGATCAATACTAGTCACATTACCTACAATCTTTAAAACATTTCTTTTGATTTTGTATTTTTGCATTTTGGAGGAGTCAAAGATATTATCTATCGAAAAAAATAGCAGTGAGAGAAAACTTCCTGCAAATACTCTGTCCTGTTTATTCAAGATGAATCAGAGAATTTTCCATCTAGAACAACAAACCCAGTCCCAGTCTTTTCCGTGCCCAGGAAAAGCTGGTATTACTCATCTGTTTGGGTGTCCACAATATGACCCTTAGAATTGAGAAGGGCCTAGCTGGGAAGAACAGTGAGATTCTCAGGACACAGAACTTCTTGCACCCTTCATTCAGCTCTGCTCCTTTGGCCTGGTTTGCTCTGGAGGGTACAGCATAGAGTTGCAAAGACACTCCTGACACATGAAGGAGTAGAGAGGCCTGAATGGGTCTTTTAAAAATTAAATAAACAGCCCTGGCTGGTGTGGCTCACTGGATTTGAGTGCTGGCCTGAGAACCCAAGAGTCACTGGTTTAATTCCCAGTCAGGGCACATTCCTGGGTTGCAGGCCAGGGCCCCAGCTGGGTGTGTGTGAGAGGCAGCCACACATTGATGTTTCTCTCTTTCTCTCTCCCATTCCCTCTCTAAAAATAAATAAAATATTTTTAAAAATTAAAATTAAATAAAGTTGACTCTGGAAAGTAGGACATAGGTAAACTACTTTCAAAATGTTTTCACCTTCTACAGCCATTAATGGATTTATGTACGGGAATCAGCCTGGTCTCAATATGTGCAAGGGAGATTTGGTCACATGGTACTTATTCAGTGCTGGAAATGAAGCTGATATACATGGGATTTACTTTACGGGAAACACGTATCTGTCAAGAAAAGAAAGGAGGGACACAGCAAACCTCTTCCCTCAAACAAGTCTCACACTCACCATGCAGCCTGATACTGATGGTATGTTTCTTTAAAGACAAGTCTCTATTGAATCAGTTTCTGAGGTTTTGGTTTAAAATCCTGTGTTGGGTGCTAAGGTCATCCCTTCCCCAAACCTCCCAAGTACCCTGCCTTCCCTTGGAAGAGCGAAGCCTGGGCCACTACCAACTTCATGACAGACAAGTCCCTTTCCTGTTTGTCAGTGGGACAGAAGGGAGTGAGAAAAAGGTAGATTCCTCCCACTTCCACAAAGCAGAATCCTGAAGACATTCTCCTCCTACATTAGGGTCCTTTTAAAGATTGCTGGCAAATTAGACTGGAAGGCTCTGTGTCTAAACTTCTCACTATTTCTCTGTAGCCTAGATGTAGTGTTCACTTGTCAATTGTTTACAGTTGAATATCTTATACTAGAACTATAGCCATGAAAATTCAGAGTCCTCTACATGTCTGGCTCTGAATGAGTAAAACAAACTAAGGCAAACAAGCAAAAAAAAAAAGTGCAAAAATACTAAGTTGCTTCAGACTTTCGTTTGGTTCATTATTTGTCAATAAAATGTAAGACAAGTCCAGTGTCACCTTTTCCTTCATTCATTAGACAAGTGTAAATGCAACAGTAAACAAGAGGTGAAGTGTCTGCTCTCCTGCAGCTGATTAAGTCCATGAAGAAAAACAGAGCAGGAACAGGGTCTGATGACTGAAGGGAGGAGCTGGGTAAAGATTCTCTAAGGAGGGTTTGAATGAAGAGTGCCAAGAGCCATGTGGATATTTTGGAAAGATTTGTTCCAGGCAGAGAAAACAGCAAATTCAAAGGCTGTGAGGCAGGCACACCCTTGACCTATGGCTGCAATCTGATCAGAGGTATGGAAAATCAGCTCATTAACCCAGGCTACAGTAAGGACTTAGGTGTTGGTGTTGATTCAGAGCGAGGGGAGGAGCCAAGAAAGTGCTGAACAATGGGGTGACCTGCTTTTATTTACCTTTCAAGGGACTTTTAATGTTGAGTGCCTCACAACTGATCACTACACGGGTGGCATGAAGCAAAAGTACACCGTGAACCGGTGCAGGCGGCTGCCTGAGAATCCAAACTTATACCTGGGAGAGAGGACCTACTACATTGCTGCTGTGGAGGTGGAATGGGATTACTCCCCAAGTAGGGAATGGGAGAAGGAGCTGCATCGTCTACAAGAGCTAAAGTAATTCTCCAGACCCTGATTCCCAATTTTTTAGTTTCTCTTTCAGAGAAGAAAGAGTCATGTTAAATTGCAGTGAAACAACAGTTGTGTTAGACAATAACAACAAAATGCTTCTTAGAAATCCTTCTCATTAATTTAAACTTCTCTCAATTTTCTTATGGGAAAATTTGCATTTACCTGTACTTTGCCGTGTATAATGCACACCCACGTTTTTGACCCAAACTTTCAGGAAAAAATCTTTCATTTTAATTTTTTCATTCAATTGTTTATTTATATTTACATAATTGTTTTTTGTATTACAAAGGAATTTTAGCATTTACTTTTGAACATATTATGGTACCAGAAATTTTATGTAACAAATAATTATAAAACACAAGAACAAATACAGGGTATTTTAGGTACTACACATGTATGATGTTCATCTTTATTTTCTCCTCAAAAATTTGGGCAAAACAGTATGCATTATACATGGTGAAATATGGTCTCATGTGATGCCATGTTTCTTTCTTTTTTATTGGGCTGTCTTCTTGTGTTCATGTGCCCTTATCTTGTCATTGATTTTCAAACTTATACCAAGATGAATGCCTCATTTCAGGGCTAAAATATTATTTTCCTTACCAACTATTTGCTGTTTATCTTTTCTCCAATGATTTTTGTTATTAGTCTAGTAATCAGTTATTTCATATTTTTTAAAAAATTTTAATTGTTGTTCAAGTACGATTTTCTGCCTTTTACTCCCATCCCAACCCACCCTCCCAGCCCTTCCCACCTCCCTCCTCTTTCCACCCCCACCTTGTTTTTGTCTATGTGTCCTTTATACTTGTATTTCACATTCTTAGGACTTTTACTTATAAAAGAAAACTTTAAATTCTTGAGGTCAGGGTAGCAGATATGGTATCTGCCCTCCAAGAACTTCCAAGAAAATATGGTTCAAAACCATCAATAACAAGTACATTATAGGAATGAACAAGTAAGTTCAGTATGAACAGATGTAACTTCAGGGTATTGGTCCAAGCTTCAGAAGCATTCATTTAGAACAGCATCCCTTATAACTGTGGTTAGCCTTTTGGTATTGTCCCAAGCACTGTCCCTCTGTCATCTCCCCCACACTGGGCACTGGCCCTTTGTGGACATGATTTGAAAGATTGGGGTGGGCATGTGTTCAGATCTGGGGAGCACAACATGGCTGGTAACCTGTAGCTAAGCAATAGTTAGCTGGTCAGTTTGACTGCGGTAATGAGTATAATTTGTGGGATAAAGAAGTAAAAGATTATTTCAGCGATTGGGGTAAGATAGTCAAAAGGCTACAAGAGCCCGTAGGAGTCAATAAAAACTTTAGGTAAAGGAAATATTGAGAAAAGCATGGCCATTTCAGTCCCTACAGACCAGAAGCATTGCAGTATTCAGAGAACACTTCATTGGTGAAATCTGGACCTGTAACATTTTAGAGCTATAAATAAATCTTAGAGAGGACCTCCTCTAATGCCTCATTGTAGGGGAGAAGAAACTGAGGTTCTGATAGATAATGACTAGCCGGAGGTCGCTTTCGTGGCAGTCAGGGCCAGGACTCAGATGGCTCCACCTCAGGCTAGGTGTGCTGCCTAACTCACGTCTCTATTTTTAATGTCTTGCATAGGGGAAAAGTGGTATTAAAAACTAGCATAATTACTTAAATAAAAATGGTATGTTTATTCAAAATTTAAAATTTAAAACTCAACTTCCACTTTCATTAAGACAAGCACTAACCTCAGTTGTCTGTGTTTGTGTTTTTTTAAGTGTTTCAAATAATGCATTCTTAGATAAGCAAGAATTTTACATAGGCTCAAAGTACAAGAAAGCTGTGTATCGGCAATACACAGACAGCACGTTCCAAGTTCCGGTGGAGAGAAAACCTGAGGAAGAACACCTGGGAATCCTAGGTACTCAGACATCTCCTGTCCATCAGGTGTGGGTTAGTGATGCGCTGCCATGGCCAGTGACAGTCCTTGTCTAGGGGTTTAATGTTCTCAGTTCATGTAATGAAGTTATTTAAATAAAAATAGCAGAGTTCTTTGAGTTGCTACCCAATTAATGAATTACTTAATAAAGCCAATTACATCTTCAAAAATAAAAATAAAATTTATTCAATAAGAATGAGAAGCCTATGACTGCGGCATAATAAAATATTATTTCTTTGTGTCAGAAACAATGTATTATCCCACATAATAATGAAGTTGCATATATTTGGTGTTTATCAAATTTCACCAAATTTTGGTGAAATTCCTAGAAATTACTTTCTAATGAAATTCTTAACTGAATTCTTCATTATTCTCCTATCCACCCCCCCAAAAATAGCTATTTATTTTTAAAATTAAGATGTAAATGATTAACTCCAAGAAAAAAATGTATGCATATGTAAGGAAATAAGAGAAAAAAGGGTTATCATTTACAAGGCAGGGGAAAAAGTTGCCTTCAATATTTCAGGAATCGTTTTAAGACAGGTGTCTAGGAACTTGACCAATACCGTTTCTTGGGAATTTCCTTGAAAACCATCAAATGCAGGGGACATTACTCCAAACCATGCTGTTTCCACACTAATGGAGTTCGCTGGGGCTTGGTTATCATCAGCCCCCAGAGAAAGATACTCAAGGGAGAATGCAGTGTCACTGGCTAAACAAATTCTCTCAGACAGGAGACAAGCTAAGATTGGCTGTAGAGGAGAAATGGGAGGGGCAGCCCCACCCACCTTTTCAAATGCTGGACTGCCTGCATTTATTAAGTCACCCTCAGGAAATTCTGGAATTCCAAATGCTGAGATTAGTACTCCTGACCAGGGATGGGTCACAGCTGACTCAACACAATTAGGCCTATGGAGGTTTGGGGACTTTCAGGCCCAAATGTTCAGAGGACTCTAGATAAGATACACCATCTGCAGAAGCAGTCATCACTACGGCTTTTATCCTGAATCCTCTAGAATTAGGTATAAATCCAAGAGTACTACAGTATGAAGCCACAGGAGTTAAAACAGACTCTGGCTTTATGCTAAGAAAGTTACCTGATCTGTGCTTTTATTACTGAGTTAGAACTTCCAATCTAACAGGCACATAAGCTACTCTTCCTTTTCTCTCTGGCCAGGTCCACAACTTCATGCGGATGTTGGAGATAAAGTTAATATTATCTTCAAAAACATGGCCACAAGGCCCTACTCAATACATGCCCATGGGGTGAAAACAGAGAGTTCTACAGTTACTCCAACTGTACCAGGTACTCATGGGGGAGGTGCAATAGATTTTACAGTTTTTCCACTAATGACTATCAGAAAGGCATTCCTTCCAAATGAGTGTGTCTTGAGAAAGTGAAGAAGGAGGCAGGCAAGAGGAGACACAGGGAGATGTGTCTGCATGTGTGTATGACTACATGCACCTACCAAAAACACACACACCACTGTAAGGAAGAATCTGATGGTACTGCACATCTACAGATGCTTACATTGGAGTCCCCAGCAATGGTCTCTCCGCACAGTTAGAACACACCCCGGTAGCATTTAGCACCCTGAATGTAGCTGCATGTTTCCGTGACTGTGTCTGAGGACCGGGTCCTAAGGACAGAGTCTGCTGCATGAAATTTTAAATCTCCAGTATCTAATCCATTATCTGGTACTAAGAACTCAATAAATGTTTAACAGAGTAAAAGCTGAAATGGTTTCAATACATTTTATTTTTTGTACATTTTCATGTACATTTCATGTACATTTTCTTTAGTAAAAACAGTATTTTTTCAGCTATTAGTTGTAAAGTTGGCTCCTAGGAAGGGGCCATTTCTCAGTAATTTAGTAGTTCCCAAATACAGGATAGGGGGAAAGTAGGTTCACAGTTGTTCATATGGAAAATAATACAATAATTAATAAATAATAATATAAGAATAAACTGTTTTTGCATGCTCACCACTGTAAACCTTCTTTTGTCCCACCCACCCTGTGTATCAAGTAAGAAAAAGTAAATTGCTCTATAAGGTTGCTCTTGTTAATTTAGAGGCAAATAGAAGTAAAAAGCCCTGCTTTCCTCATCCTCATAGTCTTCATAAAGAGATAAACAATAAATAAATCAAATATTAATTTGTAAAGAGTACTATGAAGGCAGATGAGTGAGAATAAGTGACAGCGGTACTATTGTAGGTAGGGTGGTCATGAGGCCTTCTTTGAGGAGGTGCTGCTGGTGAAGACACCTAAGTGATGACTAGTAATGAGCCGCCTCATTGGGAAGAGTTGTTTGGGAAAAGCATTCTAGGTCCCAAGACAGGAGAAGATTCGGTGTGTCTGAGGAACAGCAAGGAGGCCAGAAGGGAGCACAGAGCAGACGGGAGAGACTGAAGAGATGAGATGCAGAAAGGGCAGCAGGCTGGATGCGAAGGAGGGAAGGCAATCTTGGAGGCCATGGTTAGGACCTTAGATTTTATTCTAAAAACCCTTGTGAGGGTTTGAGCTGGAGAATGTTGACCCTATGAACACTTTTTAAAGGACTGTTCTGGCTAGTGTATAAGTGACTGTAGGGGACAGGAGCAGAAGCAAGAATCAGTTAGGGGGCTACTGCAATAATCTGGGTGAAAAAAATGAGACTTGGGCCAGGTTAGAAACAGCTGAAGTGGTGAGTTGTCATATTCTGTTCTATTTTAAAGGTGGTGCTAAAAGGACATCCTGAAAAACTGGGCGTTAGGGAATGTGAGGGAAGGAGAAGTCATGAAGACAGCTCAAGGTTTTGGGCACTGAGCACATAGTGACACAGCAGGTTAGGATGGGGAATGGCAAAGGAAATGTCATTATTTGACTTATGAAAATAAGAGTATAGATGAAGAGACAATATATTCCAGAGGTAAATCTATGCTTTATTCTCAGTGAAATGTTCTGCTTATAAAAAGGGTGAGGACATAGGGGCAGGTAAGATGGAGGGCTTGAGGAAAAAGAAAAAAGGCTACCACATTCCTTGAGAGCATCCCTCATGTCGTGCTTGATTTCCTAATAAAGGTTTGTCAGAATCTGTCTAATTAAAGTCTGACAGCATAAAGAAGTACAGTGAAGCCTACATAAAGAGTAGACATGAGTGGCCATGGCTGAAAGCCAAGGTCTTGTGAGCAGATGTACTGGAAGCCCTGAGGTGACTAGAAGCCGAGATCAGGCTAGAGAAGAGCCCAGCACAAACAGAAGAGAGTAAAGGCCTTCACAAGATTGGAGGGTGGAGCAACTGGCCCTCTTCAAAGTCTCAAGGGGCAGGGTATGATCCTGTATGTGACAGAGTTGTGACAAAACAGTGTATGGTATGACAGAATGGGACAAACTAGAGAGGAGGTCAGTGGCCCATTAAGTCAAGGTCTAATGACTCCTCACCAAGTATTGTGAAATCACTGAGGATAACGATAAGAAAGCAGAAAAGGAAGGTCATGGTGAAGCTGAAGGAATTGCACAGGGTAGTTCAGATATACAGACACAGAGACTATGTGTAAGGTGCTAGAACTGTGGGGAAAATCACTGGATAGCTGATAAGAAAAAAAAGTGTATTAGAAAAACATACATCAAGCTAAGAAAAGATCTGTTGCAAAGTTTCTTCAAATTGTATTACTGGAATTGCCACTGTTACCTAACAAAGTCAAGGAGCTTGGTGCCCTTCAAGCACAGAGAAGCCCAAGTCCAAGGCAACAGGTCTTTGCAGAGAAGAGCAGATATATTCATCAGGCAGCCAGACAGGGAGACAGGAGGTCAGGCTCAGATCAGTCTTCCTCAGACAAGGGCTTGGAGTACATTTAAACAATGAGGTTAGGAAGGAGCTATACATAGCAATTAATTCTAATTGAAGGGCTCAGGTTGGATGGCCTTGGAACTGAGTTATCTGAGGTAAGGAACATGAAGGGTAAGAGAAGGTATGAAGAAATTCCAAGTGGGCAGGGTCTGGCTGGGTGAGATCCAGGAGCCCTGATGTTATCTCTTGAAAGTGCCACCCCCCCCCGCCCCGCCACCACCAAAAAGGAGGGAAAAACTACTAGGCTCTGGTTTAGGTGTTGGGGCCTGATTTCGCCACTTTCTGGTTTTCGTAGTAGTACACATGTGTCAAGTTCAGTTAATTCATAACTGACAAAGACAGAAAAGTATATCTTACAGTTTGCCTTAAAACTAAATTTCTGAAAACAATTTTGAATATTACTACTTTTTAAATCTAATTTCCTTCACATTTCCAGTTTCTGGGTCACTAGTTATCAACATTATGTATATATCAAACATAACCAAATGCATTAACACTTGATTATTTTAGGTGAAACTCGAACTTACACATGGAAAATCCCAGAAAGATCGGGAGCTGGGGGAGAAGATTCTCCTTGCATTCCATGGGCCTACTATTCAACTGTGGATCAAGTTAAGGTAAACTTCAAATCCTTTGTGTTCCATGAAAAGTCACAAAACAGACACGCAATTGAAGGAAGATGAGGTTACAGTTTTCCTGTGGCCCAATTCTATGGTAAATTCCTAGGAAAGTAAGCTGCTCTGCAATTTTCTTTGGTCCCCTCCCGTCCCCCTCCCCTCCCCTCCCCTCCCCCTCCCCTCCCCTCCCCCTCCCGTCTCCTTTTTATGGGTTTCTTTTTAAGGATACAACTATTATCACTGCTGATAATGGGTAATACAGATTTAAATATTAATCAATACAGTATTTCATATCAAAATACATTAAACACAAAGAAGTGATATTACAGGTAATAAAAAAAATACTGATCTTGCCAGTCAATCACAACACAACTAATGCTACTGTTTGATTAAATATTTCAAAGCCAATGAAACACTCAACAATGCCACATCAGAACTGGTCCCAGGTCTAGTTCAAATCTTTCCCCTGAGTTCCACACTTACATACACACCTGCCAAATGAACATCTCTACCAGCATGTTACACAGGCACTGAAAACTCAAAGGCTCCAAAATGGAAATTGAGATCTTCCTCCACCTCCTCCTGTGGTACCAAATAGCACCATAAGCACCCAGTCTACTTAGCTGTTCCAGCTAGAACCCTGGAGATATAAAGTATCTAATGTTCCCCCTTAGCTCACCCAGAGCCCACCTATCCAGAACTCAGTCCAGTCCTTCTCTCTGTCTCCATAGATCACATCCTTGTAATTTACTTCAACTGCTTCAGCGGCCTCTTACTCTCCAGTCTCTGCCCCCTCCACGCCTTCCTTCACTCTACCACCAGGATGACTGTTCTAAAATGCAAATACGCTTCCACTCCATGTTCCATTTTTCAATGGCTACCTATGTCCCACAAGACAAAATCTAAAATTCCTGAACATGATATGACTCAAAGGTCGTTCAAGAACTAATCTGCTACTATTAATGGTAGCCAAAGCAAACTTCTCATAGGTTTAATTCAATTGTGGTCTTATTCCTCTGTGTCCACTGGCACTGCACATACCTCCATCACAGCAAGTGGTTCATTTCTTTTGTTCCTCTATCTTCCTTACTAGACTGAGTTCCTGGAGGGCAGGGGCTTTGCACAATGCATCTCTGGATTTTCAGCGAGTGGCATAGTCCTTGGCTTATGGAACAAGTAAATCACCACTGTTCATTTGGGGTTCTTCTAAATTGCTGCTCATTAGCGAGGCCAATATTTGGCCTCTACATCCACACAACCTTGGTTCACTATTGTTCCAATTTAACAGCTTCAGGTGGAAAGTTACTGACTTGACAGCACCACCTTGGGCAAGGTTTACTACCTAAATCAGTCCTTCCAAAATCCTGAGGCCAAGGGCAATAAAGTCCCAGGTCTCTGAAATCCGGACGTGTATCACCAGGATGACTGAACTTTTTGCTTGTTTGCAGGATCTCTACAGTGGATTAATTGGCCCACTGATTGTCTGTCGGAAGCACTACCTGAAAGTATACAATCCCATAAAGAAACTGGAATTTTCCCTTCTGTTTTTAGTATTTGATGAGAATGAATCTTGGTACTTAGATGACAACATCAAAACATACTCTGATCACCCTGAGAAAGTAAAAAAAGATGATGATGAATTCATAGAAAGCAATAAAATGCATGGTATGAAACATTCTAAAACCTTATTTTCCCTTTTCTACTTTCAAATCTAGAGACTATTAGAGACTATAGAGACTAGAGACTATTCATTTGCTTCTTTTTATAATGAACCATGTCTGCCTCACTTTGTGAGGCAGAAATTCTGTTCAGAGTAAAAAGGGCACTATATTCAAAATCATCTATTAACTTCTCTCCCTGTTCCCAAGTCTTATTCCCTTTTAAATAAACTCAGATTTAGGATTAAGGCTTTTTGTGCTAAGCAACTAGAAAAGCGGTGACATTATTGACCTTAAAGTATCCATTTCCCACATCTGTTGTGAAACAAATTCTATTAACTCAAAAGAGTTCCTATTCATTAGCCTAATAATCACTTTTTGTGAAATAGCTGTTGGTTTAAAATATACTGAAAGATAATATAAAAATCATGTGCTTTCCTCAGCTATTAATGGAAGAATGTTTGGGAACCTGCAAGGCCTCACCATGCATGTGGGAGATGAAGTCAACTGGTACCTGATGGGAATGGGCAATGAAATAGACTTGCACTCGGTGCATTTCCATGGCCACAGCTTCCAATACAAGGTAAGAGCCATCCATGGCCATTATTCTTGCTCTATTTGAAAATGGTTTAATACAAAGGAAGAAAATAATTCCTCAGAGAGACTTAATGAAAAATTGGAAGTTTCCAAGATAACTATTTTCCTTTTTAAAATTTATAAACAATTTTTATTTATTTATTTTTAGAGGGGAAGGGAAAGAGACAGGGAAACATTGATCTGTTGGTTGCCTCTTGCACACACCCTGACTGGGGACCAGGCCTGCAACCCAGGCATGTGCCCTGAACTGGGGACTGAACCATGAGTGACCTTTCGCTTTGCAGGATGATGCCCAACCGAATGAGCCATGCCAGTCAGGGCAAGAGATAACTATTTTCCAGCCTTTGTTATACCTGGGGCTCTTCCTGGGATTTGCTATTTGTACTGAATTTTCATGGAGTTCTGCTCACAATATTCCTGAGCAATGACTTTGAATAGAAGCATTAGCAGAGAGGGTAGGAATGTTCCCATAATGATGGATCAGAGTAGAAACAAGACTTTCCTATAACCATTGCTTGCTCTGAATTCTGGATCTTAAATGACCTGACATGAACAAGATCATCAGCGTGGTGTCAAGTGACTGGTACCTAGATCTCAACCCTGCTACTTCTCACCAAGTGCTGATTTCAGCAGGAGTTAGTTGCACTTTTGGAATTACTTACCTTTGAGTTTGTGTAGAAAATTCAAAAAGCACACTGCAGAAAAGACCATTTTATTATTTGTGTTTTGGTTTACATAGATGTTTTATTCCTAGGAGACTTTCAGTTCTATCCGTAATGGAAATACTACCAAGTACTTTGTGTCTAGTCAAGACTTTACCTGAACTGCCTTGAATTTTGGCTTTTCTATTGTCTCCTTTTCTGCACCCCTCATTTCCCTACCTGCCCTAAAGTTTCACAGACAACCTAATCTAGGATAGGTTCAGCAACAGTGAGATTGTGGCCGAAATGGGGCCACAGCTCAGTTCCCTCATGTAACGCAAGTACTCTGATACAAAGGCAAACCAGAGCTGAAGTGTGAGAGTTAACAGGTAGTACTGATTGATGGCCACTTTCATCACACTTTTCCCTTACACTCACCTGATGGCCCATAGTGCCCAGGCTTTAGTGGGAATTTAAGAAACATCTATCTCACTGTTTATACTAAACCCAAAAATATACAGGGCACCCTTTTTTTTTTAACAGATCCATTTGTCTAATATCCTTCAGCAGGCCAAGGAAAAATTATTTGAATGAATTCTAACATAGAATAAATATTATATGAATGTTCTTGTCATTTTTCTGATTAAGCACAGGGGCATTTATAGTTCTGATGTCTTTGACGTTTTCCCTGGGACATACCAAACTGTAGAAATGTTTCCAGCAACATCTGGAACCTGGTTACTCCACTGCCATGTAACTGACCACATCCATGCTGGAATGGAAACTACTTACACCGTTCTGCCAAGTAAAGGTGAATATCAAGTTAGTGATTCTAAAAGCCATACAGCACAAATATAATTAAGATACACCACTTTGCCTAAATACTTCCCCCAATATGAAGTATTTGTGAACAGGCTGTTCTTTCTTCCTTTTCTACCTCTGAACAGAATTTTTTTTTTTTTACTGTTAAATGGTATGAGACCCTGCTTTTCTAACAGTTCTTAAAACAGCACCAATCCTCTCTAATCTAGTAAAAATTGACACCAATTTGATGCAATGTAATTATACTTAAAATGGGTATGAGACCAGTCATATTTTTTATAAACAAATTAACCATGGCTTACAGACATATTTAATTTCTCTTAAAAGAAGACATTAACTTTTTTTCTAGGTATTACCTGGTACACTCTCCCAAATGAATATAATTTCAAATATGCAATCAGGTAGAACAATATCTATCTCTGTTCTGGAGGGAGTATATTCTTGATTATTGTTTATGAAAGACTGTCTTAGTCTGTTTGGGCTGCTAAACAAAATACAAAAGAACAGACATTTATTTTCATAGTTCTGGAGGCTGTCAGTTTCAGGGTGCTGGCATGGGTGACTGAGGGCCCTTTTCCAGATCGCCGATTTCTTGTGTCCTCACATGGCAGAAGGGTCCAGCTAGCTCCCTGGAGTCTCTTTAAAAAGGGCACACATCCTATTCATGAGGTCTCCACACTCATGACCTAACCACTTCCCAAAGGCACACCTCCTAAGACCATCATCCTGGGCATTAGGTTTTCAACACACAAATATTTTTTGGCGGAGGTGACACGAACATTCAGATCACAGCAAAGATCTAGGAAAAAAATAGAATATACACTCCCCGCTCCTCCCACTCCTGCAGCAGCACTCCCTGCCGTATAGGTGCACACATGCAGACACACATGCACATAGAGAAAAAAAACACAGGAAAACAAACACCCTTTTGTGTATAAACGCTAACACAATGTATTGTATGAAAGAGTGAAACTCCTGCTTGGTGGTTGCATGCTTTGGGTCTTCTGAGTTCAGAAGTGTTGGAACTGGCAATGGCAAACCCAATGGGGAAATTAGGTAAACAACTCCTTGTGTTTCCTCTTAACACAGGTATAAAGGGAACATATAAATGGAAGAAAATATAGAAGTACATATATTTCAAAAATTAAAAAATCACTGAAAGATCAACCATTAGTGCAAATGAAAAGTTTTAATCTCTCCTGGTTCTTACATGAACATCTTGTACCATGAAAAACTATTCCCACTAAAACCCTTTATCACAAAGAGTGGGGCACTAAGGGAACCAGAACACCCAAGACTCAACAGGCAAATGAACTGCTGGGTTTAATACCAGGAACTGAAGAACAGGGTGAAAAGCCAAAAATGAGAAAGAAACTTTAGCTTTTAAAAGAACATTCATACACACATTTACCACACAAAAGGATGGTTAGAAAAATAACCAAGAGCCAGGGAACACTGAGGTAGGAATTTCATGCATGCAAATGGCCAGAATGCAGAGGATGCTGCTACAGGCTAATCCTACACACAGACAAGGATAAGATTCCTCCGCATATTGAGCCTGGAGGAAAAGGAAGAGATGACTGCTTGGTTGAGATAGGGGTGATGGTTTTAAAAGCCTTAGAGAAAATTGTAGAACAAACAGAAAATCGGAAAGAGAAACACGCTGGAAAAAAAGATTCAAGAGAAATTTGGCATTTACAAAAAGAAAGATATTTATGGGACTAAAAGAAGCAGTAATGAATAAAAAAGGACAGTTTAAACTATACACGGAAAAACGAAGAGCCACGTTCATCAGGCTGAATTATCTTTAAATAAAAGTTTAATAAAGCATTTGGGCAAGTCTACATTAATTCCGAATCCCAGAAAAGTTTCTTCCTACCATGACACAGACATGAGAGTGCTGCAGGTTAGAGTGAAATCTTTCGATATCATGCACCAGGAGAGATGCAATTTCCTCCCTGCGTCCTCCCCACAAAAAATTAGAAAAAATTGTGGATATCCTGTCATACTTTAGGTAATGTTTCATTTCCCCTACCAGAGGAAGCACAATAAAGACCTCTTATGACAAATATAAAAAAAGAGTACTTTTTTAAAGACTGACATTCTTATGACAGTCAGATAACCTTTTGGAGCAGTCTGTAGAGAAAAAGGCATGCTTAGCTTTTAGTTCCTTACAGGCAGGGACTGTATATTCTGTATTTCTAAGTACCCAAATCCATCCAATACTCTGCTTGGTAAATATCTAAAGACATATTAATTCAATAAACAAGGAATTTAGAAAGTTTTTTGGACATAATGTCAGATTTATAGAAAATTTGTGAGAGCAGTACAAAATAAAATTCCATATACCTTTCACCCTAACCCACAAATGTTAATATTTTTCATAGCCACATTTGCTTTTTCATTCTATCTCCCCCTCTCTCTCCACACATACTCTATACGTATTGTAAATATATGCTAATGTTTCCTAAAAACAAGGATATTCTCATAAACACAACATACCCATAAAAATCAGGACATTAAAAATGATCCAATACTACAGACCCCTTTCAAACCACCCGTCGCCAATTGTTCTAATCATGTTCTTCATAGAAAAAGAAAACCCCGCTAGTGCACTGTGACCAGCTGGCACGCCTCCTCAGCCACCCCTAGTCTGCAACAGTTCCCTCAGTCTTTGTCTTTTACAACTTTGACATTTTTAAAGAATGTCCTTCAGTTTGGGTTTGTCTAATGTTTCCTCATGATTAGATTCAGATTATGCATTTTTTGGCAAGACTCTCACAGAAGTGATACTGTTTTTCTCAGTACACATGTCAAGAGGCACAAGATATTGATTTGTTCCCTTACTAGTAAACTTTAGGCATTTGAATAAGGAGTTAGTTGTCTGCCAGGTTTCTCCATTGTAAAGTTACTCTTTTTCCCTTTATAATTAATAAAGATCTTGAGGGGGGAAGTAATTTTTCTTTAAACAAAGCAGTGCTGGAATGAAAGATGTGTTTTAAACATACAAGCAGAAAAATATAGATGAATCAAGAATAATTAAACAAAATTAGAATACATTTTTAAAAATTAGAATACATTTAAAGCATCATGCACTAGTTTATTAAATCATATAGTATATACTATTTTTAATAATGGTCTTAAAATTTCTTTTTCTATAGAGACCAAGTCTGGCTGAAAGAAATAAATTGGTGATAAGTGAAAAAAAACCCAATTCATTATAATGTCTGTGCAAGTGTTGAATAGAATGGTTACTTTGGAATGGCTATATGGATTAAAAAGACTGAAAACATATTTCGTGCATTTTTGGGGAAACTGTGTTACACTGTTTCACATGAAAAGATCAATAGACTATTACACATGGCTGACTCGAAGATACTAGGTAAAGTAACTGATTCACATAGACTATTCATATCACCAACATTGGGGCTTTACAAAACTATATTTAAAAGAAAAATCTATGACCAGATGTTATCCTGGATGGTCTCAAAGAATCACTATTAAGACACACTGAAATGTTTCCAACCATTGGATTCCCCATCAACCCCCCTAAACATGCTGCTGACATCATTCCTAATGAACCAGTGGACATGGGAATACAGAAGTAAAATTTAAAATAAAATATAATAAAATAAATAAAGTTAAATTTAAAATAAAATGTTAAAAGTAAAAAATTACAGAGATGAGGGTGTTTTTTAAGTTTTATTGTTCAATTACAGCTGATGTAATTTTTTTCCCTGTTGCTCTTTCTGCCTCCTCTCCATCCCCTGTAGCTCCCACAGTCAATCCCCACCCTGTTGTCCATGTCCTCGGGTCCTTTATACATGTTTCTTGATTTGATCCTTCCCCTTATTTTCCCCATTATTCCCCTTCCACCTCCCCTCTCGTCACTGTCAGTTTGTTCCATTTTTCCAGTTCTCTTTTGCCTGTATGTTTTGTTCATTGGGTTCCACTTATTGGTGAAATCATATTATTTTTCTTTCACCGCCTAGTTTATTTCACTTAGCATAATACTCTCCAGTCCCATCCAAGCTGTTGCAAAGGGTAAGACTTCCTTCTTTCTTCCTGCTCTGTAGTATTCCATTGTGTAAATGTACCATAGTTTGATCCACTCATTTACTAATAGACACATAGGCTGTTTCCAGCACTTGGCTATTGTAAATAATGCTGCTATGAACATTAGGGTACATAGGTTCTTTTGGTATTTCAGGATTTTAAGGTATAATCCCAGCATTGGGATCACTGGATCAAAAGGCAGTTCCATTTTCAGTTTTTTTGAGGAAATACCATACTGTTCTCTACAGTGGCTGCAGCAGTCTGCATTCGCACCAACAGTGCAAAAGGGTTCCCTTTTCTCCACAACCTCACCAGCAACTTGTTGTTTGTTGATTTGTTTATAATGGCCGTTCTGACAGATGTGTAGTGGTATCTCATTGTGGCTTTAATTTGCATCTCTCTGATGGCTAGTAGTGTTTACCTTTCATATGTTTATGGGCCATCTGTATGTCCTCCTTGGAGAAGTGTCTGTTCAGGTCTTTTGCCCATTTTTTAAATTGGATTGTTTGTCTTCCTGGTGTAGAGTCATATGAGTTCTTTGTATATTTTGAAAATCGAACCCTTGTCCAAGGTGTCATTGGCAAATGTTTTCTCATATGGTTGATTCCCTTTTCATTTTGCTGTTTTCTTTAGCTGTGCAGCTTTTTAATTTGATGTAGTCCCATTTGTTTATCCTTTCCTTATATCCCTTGCCCTCAGAGATATATCAATAAAAATATTGCTGCATGGGATATCTGAAATTTTTGTGCATGTTTTCCTCTGACTTTTATGATATCATGATTTATATTTCTTTTATCCATCTTATTTTACTTTATGATGTAAGTTGGTGGGTTTTTTTTTTTTTTTGCACGTAGCTGTCCATATCTCCCAACACCATTTGTTGAAGAGGCTATTTTTACTTCATTTTATGCTCCTGACCTTTTGTCAAATATT